ACACAGGCAACACTAACCTGTGATGCTGATGGGCGCATCTCAGCGTGCAGATAGCAGTTTATGGACCGCTGTGAAAATGTCTGGGATGAACAGGCCTTTCATTGCCTCCTCCCTGAAAGCCCCTTTTGCAGGGAGATGAGGGAAGCAACAGAGGAGAGGTTTATCACCACGAGCCCGTCCGGCAGCTGCTTTCTTGTTCCTTGTTTAACTTCTCTCCAGAGAGCAGAGTTATCGGTGCAGCTAAGCAGGTGTTTCAGGCAGGTGATTTTGTTTCCATTACTTTTATTAAATAGCAGACCAGACTGGAGGGTTATCTCACGCACTTGGGAACCCCCGCCCCGTGCCTGCCAAATAACGAGGTGTGTGCTCGGGAGGAGTGTTACATTCTGCTCCCTCTTGCTTTCGGCATCTTCAAATCTCTAACTATAATAGGAAGCAGAATTTAAGAGCTGCAGCCCAGCCCTACCCTGCGACACCCGGATCTTGTCTGCTTTAGTAATGTGTTAGAGAAACAAGTCAAGTTGGAGGCTTTCGAGTTCTCAGGAAGAAGCAGATGAAGAGAAGCCTGACACGCCAAAGCCCAGCTACACCAACCATCACACTAATGACTCTGCTCATAGTCTCATGTTCCAAGCAACTGCAAGGAGACTTTCACAGCAAACATGGAAAGAAAGTTTTTGAAAAATAAATTTAGGCTGGGCGCCGTGGCTCACGCCTGTAATCCCAACACTTTGGAAGACCAAGGTGGGCAGATCACCCACCTCGAGGTCAGGAGCTCGAGACCAGCCTGGCCAACATGGTGAAACCCCGTCTGTACCAAAAACACAAAATTAGCTGGACGTGGTGGCGCGTGCCTGTAATCCCAGCTATTTGGGAGGCTGAGGCAGAATCGCATGAACCTGCGAGGCAGAGGTTGCAGTGAGCCGAGATCGCACCACTGCACTCCAGCCTGGGCTACAGAGTGAGACTCTGTCTCAAAAAATAAATGAATAAATAAATGAATGTAAAGCTCAAGGCCCCCTTGACCTATACACTGGACTTGCAGGTCTGGGTGAACTTCTGTCTCACGGAGAAGGCAGGCCCGCAGCACGTGCATTCTGCACTACAGTTGTGTTGCTCGCCACAGCAGGGAACCGTCCCAGCCCTCGCCCGGCCTCAGCTGCTGACAGCCACCACTCTCTCGGGGGCTGGGGAGAACAGCACGCGTCTCCATCCTGAAGCCTGTGTGCCACTGGCCCTTTGATTACCTTCAGCTTTCTCCTACTGTAGAGCCATCGCCACAGGGAGCGAACATGCGGTGACACATTTCTTTCTCTTTATCCGTGTAGTCCTTGTAATAGCTGGAGAGAGAAATACACACTTGTTAGAAGAGGTCTGTGTTTGGAGGCAGTGACATCTGGTGGCTACAATTTTCCACTCACGTCCAGAGACACTGAAAATTCATCAGGACTCAAACTGAACTGGGAGGGATGAAGGTAAACTGGAGAGGTGGGGAGGCAGGGAAAGCTCCCAGAGCCGGCCCAGGAGCCAGGCCACTGGATAAGAGGCCGGTAAGGGGAAAGGATAGCTACCCCGAAGGGCAGGTGCCTCTGGCCATGAGGCTCCAGGCTGAGTCTCACCAAGTGACCCCCTTACCCTCAGCAGCCTCTAACCTCTCCTGGTTTTCTCACTGAAGAATGGCCAGAGCCCCAAATTTCTGTATCTAACCTGACAGGACACTTTTAAATACCAGAAAGGAAATTGCCAGCAAGTCCTAAAAGACCAGAAGGGTGACCACTGGATCCAAACCTAAGAGATACTCACACCTCAGACACCAACACCAAGCAAGCTTTAACTAGCAATCTGGACGGAATGTTTAATAAAGTAGAGAATTTATTGCTGAAGAAAACATAATGAAGAGTCATGGATCTATTACCAAGTGATGGAATTACAGGTGACTCCTATTTATACAGACATTTTCAAGGTTTTCTATTAACAAACACGAAACTTCCATAATGAGAAAAAATTACATTACTAAAAGACTGCTGTGCTTAGTCATGCGAGAGACAAGGAGGTGAGTCTATGGGTATGAGTCAGACCCGAAAGGTGTTTCCTGTCACACCAGGACCAACCGGGGGCCTTTCCTCACTTGGTCAGGGAGCAGTGGTTCTCGGTGGAGTACATGGGGTAAGGCGCACCGGAAGACTCTTTAAAAGTGTCACCACAGTGGCTCACGCCTGTAATCTCAGCACTTTGGGAGGCCGAGGTGCAGGGGTCACCTGAGGTCCGGAGTTTGAGACGAGCTGGTCAACATGGCAAAACCTGTCTTTCCTAAAAACACAAAAACTAGCCAGGCATGGTGGCACATGCTTGTCATCCCAGCCACTCGGGAGGCTGAGGCAGGAGAATTGCTTGAACCTGGGAGGTGCAGGTTACCGTGAGCCGAGATCGTGCCATTGCACTCCAGCCTGGGTGACAGACAGGGACTCCATCTCAAAAAAAAAAAGTGACATCCTCCTGCTTCTCTAAGGGGTGCTTATTTTCGGTAGGGGAAACAGAAAGATGGGCAACGATGGAGGCGTGAGGTCTGGCCGTGTGTCCCACCTGCTTGCTGGGAACTGCTGCTGCAGGGCACCACCGAGCACTTCAGAAACCCAGCTGTGGAGGGGCTGCCTCCTCATGCCCTGGGCACCACCACCAGACCGTCGCCTACCCTGGTGGGCAGACCAGAGTCCCAACCACATCTATCTCCCCTCCTCAAGCTCCTGCAAACACAGCTCACCTGGCCAGTTTCTTCAGCTCGTTATTGATGTCATGATTGAAGGGCTGCTCCTTCTGGGCTCGAACTAGATAATCCCGGGCCTTCTGATACTCGGTCAGAAGAAGACAAGCCTGTCCCAAGGAAAGAGCTTTAAAAGCACAGAAAAGGCCGCATTTAGCCAGGCGCTGTGGCTTATGACTGTAATTCCAGCACTTTGGGAGGCCAAGGCGGGCGGATCAGCTGAGGTCAGGAGTTTGGGACCAGCGTGGCCAAAGCGGCGAAACCCCGTCTCTATAAAAATACAAAAATTAGCTGGGCCTGGTGGTGCATGCCTGTAATTCCAGCTAGTTGAGAGGCTGAGGCAGGAAATTTGCTTGAACCCAGGAGGTGGAGGTTGCAGCGAGCCAAATTTGCGCCACTGCACACTCCAGCCTGGGTGACAAGAATAAAACTCCATCTCTCTCTCTCTCTCACACACACACACACAGACACACACACACACACACACACACACACACACACACACAACTCAAAAGAGCTGAGTTGAGCACTGCTACCACTTTTTCCTGGGTATTTGTTCCCAGGTCACTGGCTTCCAGCTCACCTGTCCACACCTGAAGAGGGCCTTAGCATTCTTTGGGTCGATGATCAGAGCCTGCTCTCCATAGCGCAGGGCTGTGATGGGTTGGTCTAGCTTCAGGTATGTAAGGGACAGGTTCAGGAAAATAAGAAGCTTGGCAGCCTTTGTGAGGTGCTGCTCTTCAGGGGGTGCAGCTCGCCGGCACAGGAGCAACAGGGCCTGTGGAGAGGGAAGGCAGGCAGACTGTCAAGAGTAACAGTCTATGTACAAAACCCCAAAGCATCCACACACAAAAACGATCAGAGCTAACAATCAGCTCTACCAGGTTGCAAGACATAAGATCAACATAAAGTCAGCTATAGTTCTATGCGCTAGCAACGAACAATCCAAAAATGAAATTAAGGAAACAACTCGATTGACAATAGCATCCAAAAATACACTAAGTAGCAATAACCTTAAATCAAAGACTTGCACACTGAAAACTACAAAATGTTGTTGAAAGAAATTAATGATGATCCAAATAAAATGGAAAAACAACTCATGTTCATTAACTGGAAGACTTAAAGTGGTCATATTTCCCCAACCGGTCAACATATTCATGCAACCCTACCAAAATTTCGACAGCCTTTTTTGTAGATACAGACAAGCTGATTAGATAATTCATACGGAGACTGGGCAAAGTGGCTCATGCCTGTAATCCTAGCACTTCGGGAGGCTGAGGCGGGCGGATCACCCGAGATTGGGAGTTGGGGACCCAGTTGGCCAACATGGTGAAACCTTGTCTCCACTGAAAATACAAAAATTAGCCAGGCAGGGTGGCAGGTGCCTGTAATTCCAGCTACTTGGGAGGCTGAGGTGGGAGAATCACTTGAACCTGGAAGACAGAGGTTGTGGTGAGCCAAGATACCACTGCACTCCAGCCTGGGTGACAAGGTAAGACCCCATCTCGGGGGGGAAAAAAAAAAAGTAATACGGAAACTCAAGGGACCCTGAATAGCTAAAATACTCTCGAGAAAAAACAAAGCTGGGGAACTCATATTTCCCAATTTCAAAACTTACTAAAAGACAAAAAGCAAAAACAAAACTTCCTAAAGCTACAGTAATTAAGCCAGCGTAGCACTAGCATAGCTTAAGTACAGATATGCAGATCCATGAAATCCAACAGAGTCCAGAAATAGATTTATATATCTACAGTCACATGACTTTCAATAAGGGTGTCCAGATCATTCAATGAGAGAAAAGAACTGTCCTTTCAACAAATAGTGCTGGGATGAGAGGCTATCAACATACAGAAGAATGTTTACCTTACACTATATGCAAAAATTAACTAAAGTAGGCAGGGCACGGTGGCTCACACCTTTAATCCCAGCACTCTGGGAGGCCGAGGTGGGCGGATCACCTGAGGTCAGGTGTTCAAGACCAGCCTGACCAACATGGTGAAACTGGGTCTCCCCTATAATTACAAAACTAGTCAGGTGTGGTAGTGTGCACCTGTAACCTCAGCTACTGGGGAGGCTGAGGCAGGAGAATCTTTTGAACCCGGGAGGCAGAGATTGCAGTGAGCCGAGATTGTGCCATTGGACTCCAGCCTGAGCAACAAGAGCAAAACCGTCTCAAAAAAAGTAAGACAAAAATTAACTGTAGTGGAGCATAGCCCCAAAAGAGTTAAAACTCAAGACTCTGCTCGCCTCAGCAGCACATATACTAAAAGCTGGAAAAACAGGAAGAAGATCAGCACGGCCGCCGTGCAAAAAGATGACATGGAAAATTCGTGAAGCATTTACTTTTTTAAAAAAAAAACTATCAGACTTAGAAGAACACATAGATGTAAATTTTTGTGACCCTGGATTAGAAAATGGTTTCTTAAACACAAAAAGCAAAAATAACCAAATAATTAAGACTTCCTCAAAATTTAAAACTTTTGTGTTTCAGACATTACCAAGAAAATGAAGAGACAGCATAGAGCTTTTGCAAATCCTTTATTTGATAAGGGACTAGTATCCAGAGCACGTAAACAATATTTACTACTCAATATAAAGACAAGTGACCCAACTTTCAGATATGCATAGAATCTGAATATTTTTCCAAAGATAGACAAATAATCATTAAATCTATGAAAATATGTCCAATGTCATTAGTCATCTGGGAAATGAAAATCAAAACCACAGTGAGATACCACTTCGCACCCAGTAGGATGGCCCTCACTTTAAAAATACAAAACGAGTGTTGGTGAAGAAGTGGAGAAATTGGAAGCTTCGCACATCACTGGTGGGAATGTGAGATGGTACAGCTGCTGTAGAAAATGGTTTGGCAGTTCCTCAACAATGTTGACAGTTCCCACACAAACCCGCAATTCTACTCCTAGGCACATACCCAGGAAAACTGGAAACATTCGTCCCCACGAGAACTTGTACATAAATGCTCACTGCATCAGCCATCATAATCACGACGTGGAAACAACCCACGTGTCCAACTGTTGAATGGACAAACAGCACAGCCATTTGATGGAAGAGCAGCCTTGCAAAAGAATGAGGGGCCGGGCGCGGTGGCTCACGCCTGCAATCCTAGCACTTTGGGAGGTTGAAGTAGGCAGATCATCTGAGATCGGGAGTTTAAGACCAGCCTGGCCAACATGGCAAAACCCCGTCTCTGCTAAAAATACAAAACTTAGCCAGGTGTGGTGGCGGGCGCCCATAATCCCGGCTACTTGGGAGGGTGAGGAAGGAGAATTGCTTGAACCGAGAGGTGGAGGTTGCAGTGAGCTGAGATCATGCCACTGCACTCCAGCCTGGGCAACAGAGAGATACTCCGTCTCAAGAAAACAAAACACAGAATGAGGTTTGTATATGCTACATGGATGAACCTTGAAAACATGCCAGGTCAAAGGAGCCAGCCACAGAATAGCACATATTTGGCAATTCTACATAAATGAAGTGTCCAGAACAGGCAAATCCATAGAAACAAAAGAGAACAGGGATTATCTGGAGGCAAAGAATTACAAGTCTCATTTTGGGGTGAAGATGTTCTGAATTAGACAGTGGGGATGGCTGCACAACCTTGTGAATCTACCAAAAACCACAGAAGTGGACACTTCATCTTTTTTTTTTTTTTTGGGGGGGTGGGGGGACAGGGTTTCACCATGTTGGCCAGGCTGGTCTTGAACTCCGGACCTCAGGTGATCCACCTGCCTCAGCCTCCCAAAGTGCTGGGATTACAGGCGTGAGCCACTGCGCCCAGCAGAATTGGACACTTTAAAAGCACACATTTTATGGTATGTGAATTATATCTCAACAACAAAAAAATAGTAAAACAAAAAGTGGATGAAGAAGGCAGACCCTGTACTCCCTGGGACCTCGTTTGGAAGGTGCAAGTAGAACGGAAGAACTGGAAGGCCAGTTCCATAACGACAGCACTTTGGGAGGCTGAGGCGGGTGGATCACCTGAAGTCAGGAGTTTGAGATCAGCCTGGCCAACATGATGAAACCCCATCTCTACTAAAAATACAAAAGTTAGCTGGGCATGGTGGCACGCGCCTGTAATCCCAGCCACTTGGGAGGCTGAGGCAGGAGAATTGCCTGAACCTAGGAGGCGGAGGTTGGAGTGAGCCGAGATCGCGCCATTGACACTCCAGCCTGGGCAAGAGAGAGAGAGGCTCTGTCTTGAAAACAACAACAGAACAAGCAAGCAAGCAAGCAAACAAACGAAAGAACCGGCAGGTGTGTCAGGAGATGGCTGCACAGCAGAAAAGTCATGAGCCTTCCTTGGTCTTCCTTCTCTAAGCTCTGGGCGTTCACTAGGCAAGTTTCCACCCACTGTCTCCACACCTTCTGAGTGGATTCAGCTCCTGTTCACGCCAGCCAGAACCTCAGGCCTGAACCCTGCTCTCGTACCTAAATGAAATTGTGACGCAAGTTGTCACCTGGAAACAGTCTTCTACAGGTCCTGCTCACCTGGCCATTCCCATGAGTAATCAAAATGGAAAGCAACGTATTTCTTTCCCAGTTATGCCTTGGTTTAATTTTTTATCTCAGACCAGGAAGTTTCAAGTAATTCCATTCTTCTGTTTCTTTGATCACTTATATATAAAATCGCATCAAGTCTAACCATTTGTTTTGTGGAAGGACTTGCAGAGCTTTTTCTACTTGCACAATTCACAGCTGCTGTAACACATTCCTGGATCCTGTTAACAGGTTTAGCCACAGCTCGCCCAGCTCAGTGGCCAACATGAAACAGATCCCCATGAAAGTGAAGGTTGCCGTCTGACCTGTCCTGCGCACAGAGGTGTGCTGGTACATGGTGAACGGCCAGCTCTCGGGGGGAGGCGGAGCCCTGCTTTGTAGCACTTGCCTATTCCTATGCTGTAAATATTTCTACCAGAGCCGATTTCAAGCTTCCAAAGTGACATTGACTAGGGCACACAACTTCTGAAAATTTTACAACTGAAATTTTGAGTTTTCACGAGCTCCAGCACAACTACTGGCTCTTCCCCAAATATGACTTTTATCAACTCACTCTGCCTCAGTGGTTCCCTGCCATCCACTTCATCTACTCCAAATTCATCCACATCTATTTGAATGTCTTCCTGAATCTGGCCACCTCCTATTACCCGCTATTCCTTAGATATAAAACATGTTTCTGACTAGGAAGCTACCGACTGTGCCCTGAATAGGCTCTGATCACTTCTGTACCTTTGCTCATCTTTTTTCCTGCTGAGGGTTTATGGCAGAACGGACAAGACAGCTCTCTGGGACCTTTTAGAAGGCCACTAACTCCATTCATGAGGGTTCCATCCTCATGACCTCATCACCGCCCAAAGGCCCCTTCTCCTAACACCATCACATCAATAATTCGGTTTCAACATACAAATTCTGGAGAGACACAAACATTCCGAACACAGATATTGGTGAGCAGTTTGAGCTGCATTTTCTCTCCCCAACTAGATTCAAATCCCTCGAAAGCATGAACCCCAATACTTCTTGTGTGATCCAGACAGGGCTGAGCGAAAGGCTGGAGACGCAGGAGAGCTCAGTCAATGTCAGCCTGCTGCTCCGGAGACTGAGAAACGTTCCACTGGGAAGAGACACGCAAAACCCGTGGCTCAGCAAGGCAGGCTTCACACGCAGGCCTACTTTCTCCAGCCCTGAGGGACTAAGACAGGTGGTACTCCAACATGAGCAAAGGACGGATACCAAAGCCAAGGGGTCAGAGCGGGCGGCAGTGTGATGACTGACTCGGCAGAGTGGTGCCAATGTAAAAGGGACTGATCTGCCCCTCAGAGCCTGGAGAGCCCTAGGAACCGATGGAAGCAGGAGGTCGAGCTATCTGGTGGCGCTGAGTAAAGGCGGTCAGGTCAAATGTTCCCCCTACTCACTGCCCCTAGGTGTCCAGATGGCCTCAGGAATCACAAGGTCTACTTTCTGGGAAAATGGAACCAAAGAGGCCCTTGATTAGGAGTCAGACTGGAGCAGATGGCAGGAAGGTGGTATGCTGGTAACTGGGCTACGAAAGGGAACGTCAATCGCAGACAGTGAGAACCTCTGACCCAGAATGCTGGTGCCTCGGCATGCACACGGGGCAGAAAGAGGACTCGGTGGACACGGGGGCAACACCTACGTACTCCGACATGTGCAGTCTCTCTCTGACCACACTGCCACCTGCCGTGGCAAGCACCTGGCATTTCCCATCAGCTCTGTGATGTCTCTTTCAAATCTTAGTGGTCAAAGATCACCAGCCGGCCAGGCGCGGTGGCTCAAGCCTGTAATCCCAGCACTTTGGGAGGCCGAGGCGGGTGGATCACGAGGTCGAGAGATCGAGACCATCCTGGTCCACATGGTGAAACCCCGTCTCTACGAAAAATACAAAAAATTAGCTGGGCATGGTGGCGCGTGCCTGTAGTCCCAGCTACTCAGGAGGTTGAGGCAGGAGAATTGCCTGAACCCAGGAGGCGGAGGTTGCGGTGAGCCGAGATCGTGCCATTGCACTCCAGCCTGGGTAACAAGAGCGAAACTCCGTCTCAAAAAAAAAAAAAAAAAAAAAAAGATCACCAGCCATTTGAGGAAAGCCTCTGTGAAACAAGTGGCCTCCTGTCTCCCAGCAGTGGCTATCCCTTTCTTCAGAGTAATGGGACTATATATTTTTTTGGCCAGGAACAGGTACAACCGGAATACAGATACCCGTGAGCCTTCTTTGCAGCTAGGCAAGGCCCGGAGAACAGGTTCTGGAAAACGTAATTCAGCAGAAGTGTCATGTGACAAGAGCCTTCCTTAACAGAGCGGCACGTGCCCCCAGCCTTTCTTCCCTTCTGCTGCTAGAACTTAGAGACCCTCATCCTGGACCACGAGGCCAGAGTCCCACCCTCGAAATGAGAACTGGGTATGTGAAAACATCTGGAGCAAAGCCACCAACCGGCCCTGGCTTGCATGCCTCTAGCCTTTCACGAGTGAGAAATAAACCACCTTTAGGTTGTTGACAAACTTAGTGCAAAAGGACACAGACCCCAATATATAGAAAAACCAGAAGAAGAATGAGATTAAATGATAATTAACAGTCTAAAGAGATAAAATAATATATGCAGGAAACAAGAACAGAATGCTGGGGAGGAGAAGAACAAGGAGGCCCTCCATTTTCTAAAATTAATTTTTTTTGTAGAGATGGGATCTTGCTATGGTGCTCAGACTGATCTTTAACTCCTGGCTTCAAGCAATCCTCCCACCTTGGACTCCCCAAAGTGCTGGGATTATAGGTGTGAGCTACCACACCCCTGGCCCCCCAATTTTTAAATGAAAAATTCA